TTAGTAATGTGGTGCAGATGTCGTAGTGTCAGGTATTGGATACGCTCTTCGGGCCATCTAGTGAAGCGGTCTATGGCTAGTTAGTACTTTTGGTAAGTACAAAAGAACAGCCTAATGATGGAGTAAAAGGACCTATTAGATCTATATGTATATCTATATGTTCGAATCTACCAGTAGGTAGGTTAAATTTCTGAAGTGGAGATTTTGTGTATCCTCGGATTTTAGTTTTCTGGCAAGGTATGCAAGTTTTACACCATGATTTTACTTGTTTGGTTAAATGTGGCCAAAAGAAACGATTTTTGATATTATTTTAGGTGGTTTTGAAACCTAGATGTATTAGGCAATGAAATTTGTCAAAGATGGTTTTCCGAAATTTTTTGGGTATGTAGATTCTTGGCGATTTAGAACAATCTTCGCACCAAAGATCTAAATTAGAAGATTGACTTTTTTTTGAGATTTCAGAGCTTAGCTCAACTATGTAGTTAATGTATCTGGTTTGCCTAGGAGATTTTTCTGTTTTCGAAAAGAGCGCGGCGATTAGGGGTTTATGATCTGTGAAAATTTTGAATTGGTTTCCTTGTAAGAAATATTTAACCGCGGAATACATAGCTAAGAATTCTCTGTCAAAGGTGGAGTACTTCATTTGGCTGATAGACATTCTTTTGGAAAAGAAGGCTACTGGTGAAGTAGTTCTATTGTTAGTTTGAGAAAGAACAGCTCCTATTCCTGTTTCTGAAGCATCAATATTTAGAGAAAACGATCCTGTTAGAGCAGGATGTGAGAGAAGTGCAACATTGACCAGAGAGTCTTTGGCTTTGGCTTCTTCTTCTGCTCAACCACGCCTTTTCTCTATTGAAACAAAATTTACTGAATTACTAAAAAATTTTCTAAATTAACTTGACGCTACAGTAATAAACAACATTATTAACTCAAAAGGTGTCATCTTCCATGTTTAAAATAAAGGTGATGTGTTTTTGAATTCCGGCTATAAACCTGTTACAGCTAGTTATATACTAGCATATAGTTATATAGTAGTATATATATAGTTATACTAGCATAACTATATTTTCTAATTTTCGAATTCTGCACTCTGTTTGTGACAAATTTTCCGGTTATTTCCCTATAAAGTATTTGTAATTGCATTTGCCAAGTCCGCCTTTACACCTGCTTTCAATACTAACCAAGCGTGTTCAATTGGGTTTAGCATTGGACTGTAAGGACTTAGCCTTACAAGTATATGATGAAAAAATTCTTGATCTTCAACCACTTCTTCAACACCCAATGCCATGGAACATTAATAATGACTAAAGCCACCGAACATTGATAGCTATCTTAAGCTCTCCTTAATCATTGCCTAACAAACTCATTAGCCTCTTTCGTTTTATATAACTCCCTTCTTAATTCACGATAAATCAATCCCTAGTTACTGATTCACCCGATAAAATGCACATTTGCTCCTAGGCTACCGGCAGCAATGAAAGTACAACGACTCTGAATTCGCGAGATAAATAAATTAAAGTTTGTTTCGTCTAAATAAATTATGGGCAGGTTTTCACATTGGAGTTCAAACAAATTTCTTATGTGTTGAGATCTTTTTGTTTTCACTTTCCGGTTCAAAACGCATTTGTTTTAATGTAAACATGAGGCCGTCAATGTGTTGTCGAATACACTCCTTGCTTACATTAAGCTGAAACTCATTTCATTATTTTTTTCAGCGCCAGGTTGTTAAAAATTTGTATTGCTTAAATTGTTGGTGGCGATATATTTATATTTTAGTTTGAAATGTTAATAAGGGGGTGATATAATGAAATCCAATAATAAACCTTAAGTGACGCTTAATTAAAACGTTCAAACAAGGTTATATTAAATCTGACGCTAATTTAACATAGTAGCAATTTATTATGGAATGATTATTACTATTACGTTAACGTTAAAATGACGAAAACAGTTCACAGTAAGTTTTAAAACTTATTATGAGAAAACTATAAATTCCTCGCTCGTCTTTTCGAAAATAGAATTCTGAAAGTTTTGCTGAACTAAAATGTTTTAGTTGATATTCGAACACTGTTCCTAAACACCTGTCGTTGGTCCCATCGATCGAAATGCAGCAGCGAGATCAAATAGCAATTATCATTTTCAATCGTCATTTCAAGTGTAATCAAGCGCTTCATTTTAAAATGTGAATATCAATGAGTTACATTTACGTTTTATATTCTTTCATTTTCCATTTGATATATCGGTGGTAAATGTCTCAGCTAACCTTGTAATGCTCCCTGCCAGAATATGATCAATAAGGACGTAAATTTGATATATGTATTGTCAAACTGTATCGGTCTACAAAGACAAAGCCTCCTGTGAAACCGGATTGTGCCTTCAAGCCATTCGTTATTTATTTTATGTGAACGCGAAAGATTCGATATAATAATTATTATTGAATTTTTTTTGTCACTATAAATCGGTAAAAATTGTAACAGTAATAAAACGATATTGAATTTGGAATTTTTATGATTAAGCCGACTACGCGTAGCGAAAAGTCGAACTCGAGCGATTTACTGCAACACTAAAATGTACTCGATGTTCGTTGCCAAATAAATAATTTAAAATTTCGTCGAAACGTCGGTCCCCGCTGTCGAAATTTGCGACGTTGGTCGAACCGGCAGAATGGTTGTTTTGTATTTATTTTTCTCTTCGTTGTGGGTGCCCCAAAACCTTATTTCATATGTACAAAGGCTAGGAAGTTTTACAAGTATAGTAAAGATGCAAGCTCAACTTGTAACACCATAAAAAGGAATTGTAAAGTTGATTCGTTTCCAAAATCCTGTAAATCAATACGTTTTGCATAATAATCACTAATAAGTGAAGAAGTCGATCTTCTGACAAAGTTTATTAAGACATTTAAATAATATCTGTATACATATAAATATTTAAAGACCTAAGCAGAAGAAATTGACGATCATACCATAATATGGCAACATATTATACTACTCAGGTGATGAGAGAATAAAAAACAGAAACGAAGTTACGATTATTTTTAGCAGGGAGGCTGTAAGAGTAATCCATTACTCTATCTGATAGAGTGATGATGATGCGGTTAAAGACCTACAAAGTAAACATCAATATTGTGCTGGTGTATGCTCCACGCTATGCCCATGATGACGAAAAAGTCAAGAATTTTGACTACTAAATATTGATTGACACTTGACACTAACAGTGCTTGTTGTGACCAAATGTTTCTTACAACGTCTTCGGTAACAATCTCCCCTCGTTGATAGAGTCGGTATTGGTATTGACCCTTTCCTCTTCGTCTTCTGGCCCTTTTAAGAGTTCTTCGAAGTCGCCTGCCCATCTGTTAAGAATATTAAGAAATACCTAGTTCATGGATTATGGCAACTATAGTGGGATCACATTACTCACTGTTGCGTATAATACTATCGAATATACTATGTGACAGCCTCCAACCAAGCGTAAAAGAAGTCGTAAGTAGGTACCAAGCCGGTTTCCGAAAGAATAAGTCAACAATAGACCATATCTTTGCATTACGGCAAATACTGGAGAAGTGTATGGAGTACATTGCAGACACATATCATATTTTCATTGATTTCAGCTGCGCAACGACACCATACTGAAAGACAAATTATGCGAGGAAATGCCGCAGTTCAATATACTATATCTGGTAGCAATAATACGTTTTACTCTCAAGGCAATTTCTGGTAAAGGTAGAATTCAAGGAGAATATAGAGTTGTATGGATTGGGTTTTCAGTTTTACAACTTATATTGAGGTTGAGAGAAGACAACCTTTGTGGATCTAACACAACGGCCTACGACACCGTATGAAGGACTGTTCTTTAAATTCCTAAGACTAGTCATTTGTAAGACACTGCGCTTGCTGCTGAATAACATGCTCAGTGATTTATGGATGATGTGGAAGATCTAAGAAGGCTGAAAGTCAGGCAAGTCAAGGTCCACAACAACCTGTAGAGTCAAGCATTATGATGATAATTGCGACTGACAAAGAAACGTTGATTGACGATTGCCATGGGTGACAAGAACGTTAAGATCGGCAAAGGAAGAGAGGATCCGATTATTGGTGAATGGTTCATCATCATTCCAAATACATTCTTTGATTTGCTGGAAAGAATACTGTATACTTCTCCTGTGCATAATCACGCTAGAATAGTAAGATATCAATTGCTTATATTTGTCTAAGTAAAGCCAAGGACATCTTGTCAAGGACAAAGTCCTGCAGACACTTTGATTTCGCGTGGAGTTTCCCTTTTACTCAGCATGTACAGTCTCATTAATTGCAGCCTCTCGAATTCGGATGGTATGTTGAGGTTACGCATTATGGTGTAAAGTTTGTTTCTTTTACCGCTATCATCGATTAGAGGCAGATTTGCATCTTGGGATTTGCAAAAGTTGTTTCTTAGTTCATATCCTTTTTTGAAGAAGTTAATGATTCTACACGCCTTAGTATTATAAATAATAATCGCTCTTCTTCAGTTTCCCTCAATGTATCATAGATGCCGAAATTCCAATTATATCTGGATACTAATCCATAAGATTTACAGCAATTTAATCATTTGTTTCAGAATAGATTATAAATTGTTTGTGATGAATTTAAATTTTACCATTCTAAACCTCTTTCGATTATTGATGACCTCAAACGGGTGTTAAATTAACGTAACACATTATATAGAATAATACTTAACCTTTATAATATCGCTATTACATTCTCTACAAATGCATTATAAATTTTCTTGGAGTTATGAAAAGCAGTATTCATGTTCATGTCGTGGTTGATGTAAAATATGAGATTGTTATGAAAATTTATAGACTACTTTTAAAACTGTTAGAGGTAATGATAAAAGCTATTGGATAATTTTACAGATTTTCGTTTTATTTTCTGAACCTTTTCATCCTCTCAAAAATAGAATAGTTAAATTTGAGTAGTCTACATAAAATTTAAATCTTCCTTTTCTTTCAGATATTGACATCCTGGAAAAGAAGTGGGTTAACGATGGGTCCTCGTACGACCTTTACACTCTTCCTGTTAATCTCAACGATTGGCCACTCTATAACGGCGACCCAGTTCATATCGTCTCCTATTGGCATTCAGGAACCGAACCAACTTCGTGAGCCAAAAGATTTCACAATAGCGACCCCGTTTTCACACGCTGATGATTATAATCTATCAAGTGAAGTGTCAAATTCGCAGGAACCGGAAATGTGGATTGATAGAATTGACGAAAGACGCAAAAGGGAGTTGGTGACGAACTGTACGAGTGTGAATTGCACGGCGTCGGATCCTTTCGGATTATTTAATATGACCGAAGAAGAATTTCTTGGTCAAATTAGAGATTTTATATTTCCGCGAACGTGGATGTGGATATTGATTATTATGCACACAACTGTTTTTGTCGTTGGTTTAATGGGAAATGCACTGGTGTGCGTTTCTGTTTACAGAAATCATTCCATGAGGACCATCACGAATTATTTTATAACTAATTTGGCAGTTGCCGACTTTATGGTTCTTCTCTTCTGTTTACCACCTTCGTTAGTATGGGACGTTACTATGACTTGGTTTTTTGGAGTGGTTATGTGCAAAATTGTACTTTATCTTCAGGTAATACACATTAAATTATTGGAATGCATTCGTTACGGTCTAATTATTTAGGTCATAATTCATCATAACCCTAAATGATTTTACCCTGTTCGTGGGGAAAGTTAATAAATGGTTTGTACTACGAGATAGCGCGTGCTATGCACCGCTGAGAATTCTAGATGTTTCTGTGTACGTGTAACAATGCCAGACAGAATACAACGGTTTTGGGGTAATTTATCACGCGAAATTACAACACAGGGAGTCAGATCGTTTTTGTAACTTGAAACGAAAAACAAAGAATATTTCAGAAATTTCAGTGGTCATTTCAAATTATTTTAGGTATTAAATCTTTTGAAAGTGTCGCGATAAATTTATCTAAAGTTATTTATTATATTAATTAATCACATTTTGTGGAACACGAATTGGTTTAGTTGCGGTTTTAATAGATAGTGTAGAAATTTGAATTTGTATAACTTATTCCAACAATTATCTAGAATTACGCTATAATTTTAAAGATATTTCTACTGGGTTTTGCTGAACAATTTGGGATATGACGTGACGAGGGTGCGATCGTCCATTTCACACTAAATTTATGCGGTCGTTTGTTATCGGATTATCTTTCACGTTTTGTCCTTTTATTTATTCACATTTCATTTATAAATTAAAAATATTACGTTTAAACTAATTGTTCAAATTTATTTTAAATAATCTTTACAATATTACTTTAATATTATTAAATATATCCACATCATCTTGGTTAATACAAGGTTTCTGCAGCTATCTCATTACGTCTTCTTACAAGTTCTCTCTGAAAACTAAATTGGATAAATGCAGACCCAGCTCGCTCAATTTTTCAGACGTTTCTATTAAGTCTTTGAATGTTGGCCGGATTCTTTTTGCTAGATGGGGTAGTATTTGTTCAGTCCTTTGAAGTATTTTTATCCTACAGCTGTATCTACACGAATATAATTGTAATTATAATTGTATAAATTTTGAAATATAAAATCAAAAATGACTATGCTAAACGCGACAAGTATTGATAATCACTGTTAAAAAATAGTGATAAAGTGACGAATGCATGATTTTATGAGATCGATGTTCATCCTCGGCTTTGATTAAGATGAGAAATGTATGATGATGTCCGATTAAACCTAGGTCGCTTCAGGCCGAGGCTATACAGTTAATACAATATCAGCCCCTGGCGGCATTGGCTCTGATTAAGTTGGGGAATGTAGGAATATATCTCGACAAAATCGAGAACGTTTGCGGCAAAACAAAAGATAAAAAGGATACTAATACCAATTGTAAGGAAATAATGACAGCTACCTACTCACTAAAGTCCTCCGTCACCCACCCATCACGTCAATGCTCTTTTAAATCGGTTCAGGGGTAGTCCAATCAGAAGAAAAACACCGCTTGAAAAACTCTATCCGGTGGGAAGGAGGTATTAGTCTACCCCTGAAGCGATTAACATTATGTACGTCCGTTCTGAATTTAATCCTATCGTGCAGGTATGGAGGGGTACCTTCAGTGATGACCCTATAATACAAGCAAGCCTTGTAGATGTATCTGCGAGATTTCATGTTCAGCCATTTTAGCTGCTTAAAACCAAAAGACACATGATAATATTTCCTAAGGCCGAAAATTAAGCGGGTGCACGAGTTTTGAAGCTTTTGAATTTTTCCCTGATGCCTAGAATCCAAAAAAGCGCCGTGTATGCTGTCACAGTAATTAAAGTGTGACAATACCAGAGAGTCGCATAAAAGCTTTTTTATGTGTCAGTCAAAACTGTAATGATTAGAGTAAATCAATTTTAACGAGCCATAAGCTCTACCAATCAACTGGTTAGTGTGTTCCCTAAAGCTTAACGCCTCATCCATGACCAGTGCGAGGTTTTTGACAGACTTACTTAATGGAATAGGAGTATTTCCTATCGACAGGTGATAAAACCCCCCAATAAATTTCTCTTTTAACTTTGGGGGCCCAAACAGAATGATCTGGGTCTTATTAGGGTTTATCTTTAAGCAATATTCCCGAGTCCCATAGATAATGCCATGCAAGTCACGTCTAAATTTATTGAAGCCTTCATCAAAGTGGCCTTCAGAAAAGGACAGATAAATCTGAGTATCATCAGCATAACGCTACAGAAATTAGCGAAGCTATTGAAATTTATCGTGTACATTTTAAATAGTTTAGGGCGTAGAATCGATCCCTGCGGGACCCCAAACCTTATCTCCAAAGCACTCGAGTTTACCCATAGACTTATTACACTAGACCGCGTCTCCCTAGTTGCTGCTATAAGAGCGTGTGTTGTCAAGATACGTAGGCAACCCGTAGTCCAAGGAGGGGCAGAAAAGCGAATGTAGCATTCAAGGTAGTATATCTACATATCTCCTTTACTACAACTTGCGGTATTATTTTAGAGCAAACCCCAGGCTTATACAGGGTGTATCTGAATGACTGCAACAAAGTTCAAGGGGCTTTAGTGAATTTTAAGGGTACTTTGATATATGAACCATGGGCGACTTCGGCTCCCCTAAAAGAGCAAGAGAAGCAAGAGAAAATGAAATTTGGGGAATATGTTTAACTCATAATAGGGCACGTTTTGACCCTATTTGTACTTTCAACCTATCCTTCTAAACTACTAAACGTAACCACCCCCGTTCAAATTATGCCTAGATTTTTTTTATGAAGATGCATACATTGGAAAAATTTGAGTTAGATAGATGAAACTATTCTAAAACTTTTTTGTCTCTCTGATGTTCTTCTAAAACTTAATAATTTCTGAGAAAAAATATCAGGATGATTATTTGATTGTACGTAAAACCTAAAAATAGTTTCAGCTGTACCAGAAATGCTTACGACATCATTTGAAGCAATTAACAATCCTCCCCGATTTTTTCTGTTCAAAAGATATGAGTTACTTTCTACCGCAAATAAAGCATCTGCACAAATAGCACATTTAATTGACTTGGCTATTTTTCTAGACACAAAACTATACCATATCCAGATCGAATTCGCACTTATGAAAATCAATTTCAAATTTTCGAAACTGGATTTCACACAACTGAAAATCATTTTCGTACTAACGAAAAATCAATTTCGTACTAATGAAAACCAATTTTACACTAAAGAAACTAAATTTTTCCTTTACGAATTTCAAAGTCAACATTATGAAAACGAATTTTACATCCGTGAGAATGAATTTTATGTCTATGAAGATCAATTTCGAAAGAATTTTACTAGGCTGTAAATAAAGACCTATATAAACATGTTTATCTACGACTGCTTGGATAAGTCATCATTACCGCACTCATTTGAGGTGATTTGAGTTACGTAATGAAGTTCATTACCGCACTGGTTTCATTACGTAACGCATTTTTAGTCTAATCAGAACAGACTTAATTTATTGAAACGAGCAACAATATAAAAGAAAAAGTGCTATCTACTTACAGAGAAACAATACTATTTATTATAAACATTAATTGTTATGTTTTTACATTTCGAAACACTTATTCCAGATGAGTAAATATGTTGTTGAAACTGACAATTCAAAATTGTCAACAATCATTTCAAAATATTTTTATAAATATCAAATAGACTTTTTTAAAAAAATTCATTTTTTAGTAATTTTTAGCAGTCGTAGATAAAATGCTGTATATCACACGTGGGCTAGAGCATAATTACAGTACTCGTGTGATTACACGACTCGGTCTACGACCTCGTCGTGCAATTCTCCACACTCGTACAGTAATCATGTTTCTAGCCCACTTGTAATATAAATAACTATTATTCAATGGAATTTTAATAACGAGTATTTAAATAATTACAACAATATAATTAAATTAAACAATTAAATGATAACTATATATAAATTACATCTTAAAACTTATATTTCGTTTAGATCTCGTTTAAATCTTGCTCCCTTAGCACAGCAGCATAATAACGCTCCACATGATTTGTATACCCCAAAAGATGTTGCTGGGGAGTATCCCTAATTGCTTCATCTGCGATTTCTTCTAAAATCCGCATTCTACGTTCGGCAATAGTGAGTCCTTGATTATTATTTAAACGCACGTAGTTCAGTACGTTTGACATTCTAACTCGTATCTGTCTCTTCATTTTAGATTTAAAGGAGCTCCATAGGAGTTCAATAGGGTTTAATAAATATGAATACGGTGCTAAACGTATTATTTGAACATCCTCTTGGGGTTGCAAAACACTTTCCAAGTTTGAGTGCACAGGTGCGTTGTCGATAATAAAACTCGGGTGCAAAAATCCTAAATTTCTACATGTTGCAATTAAACCTCTAAACCATACTTTGCATTCTGCACCTTTATACGAACCTCTTCTATGCTCAAAAGATACAATTTGGAACACATCGCGCCAATGCAATGCAAATTATTTCCTTTACTTGCCGGAACAACCACATGAGCTCTATGGCCAATTTTTGATCTACCCTCATTTTGACGGCAATATAAATTAAAGTTGCACTCATCAATCCAAATGAGGTCTCTACCGTTACCCCGGCTTTCTAAAAGTTTTTCAACATACTCCCTTCGTTTGACTTAATTTTCGTGCGTATTGATGTTTGCAACATGTGGTCGAATTTTTTTAAGCGAAAATAATTTACCGTCCAGCCAGTTCTTTATCGTATTAATTGAAACACGAAGTTCAAATTCATTATGCACGCGATTAGATAGATCTTTAAGCGTTAACGTACTATCTTCTTCGATCCACCTTACTAACGCTTCGTCAATTGCAAGAGTTTTTTTAGACTTGAAACCTCCTTTAGGTTTCGGATCTTCTTGATCATTTTTTAACCATTCGTACGCAGTGCGAACGTTGACACCCAAATCTTGAGCAGTTTACCTCCAGTTTTTACCATCTTCGTAAGCTTTCATTATTCTTCTTCTATCAGCAGCACTAACCTTATTGTATTTACCGCGAGGCATTTTCATGGAGTTACGAAAGTTTGACGTTTATTAAAACAAATACCAAGCATACATGACTTATTCTTC